GGTTATGCTACTCTTGCCTCGGGTACCTATCACCCCCGGCACGGCCTAGGGCCGAGGATGAATGGCCTTCCTTACCGCCTTCGGAAGTGGATAACCTATGCGCCATTTCGACAAGAATTGCGAGAGCTCCATTACCACGTCTGTCGCTGCCATGCCTTCCTCCCCTTATCCTGCAGTTTAAAACGCCGCCCTTGAGTAATTGCCGTCTTTGCTTCCCTCCCCGAGTGACACCCAGCATGTATGGTGCAAAGCATCTAAAGGCGGGACCTCCGATGAAACAGGAATTCCGGTGAAACCCCTTGCAACCGATCCGGGTAATGACAAGAAATGCTAAGTTCTATACCCTGAACAAAGTATAGAAATAGGGTATAAGGATAGGAACTCCTTAACCAAAATAGACAGGAATAAATTTCACAAGTTAACCTGAAATAACTGTTCCATAACCTTATGCTAGCCCTTTGTCTTCAGCTCATAGTTTTTTATTCGACCCTACTCATATCCACTCCACAGTATATTTTAGCACAGCACTATGTAGATTGTGTCACTTGTTTCACTCTCACTAAAATTTTCACTTTTTCACCTTTAATAACTTTTGCTCACAGCATTTAATTTTTTTTTTAAAAAAAAACCGCTACCCTGTTCTCCATGGAATTAGCTTCAACCTAGCGGTTTTATTTTTTACAAAGTTTCTTGTTGTGGTTGACTAATTAGGAATCACATTTGGCCTATTTGGAGGACCCGGTTTGGGTCCATTTGCACTATATATCTCCTCTCTTCATATATGGTATAAGTTATACCCGTCCAAACCTCTATGCGGATTTTCCTATGTGGTCAAGTTAGGATTTGCGATTTTCCATGTAATCTAGGGTTTGGCGTTGGTGGGGGGCCTATTCCTATCGAGTTGGGAGCAGGCTAGTGCTGCCTGAATTTTCCACCAGAGTTGACTTTTTTTGTTGTTGTCTGCTTTTAAATCCTCTGCATTTTTTGTTACTCGGTCTTTTTTCTACAATTTCTTTCCCCCCTTTCCCCCATCTATGATACAACATGTTGGATTGCCTATTGGGCATGTCGTTCATTCGGGATACGCGGTTAAGGGCTGCACGGTTTTAGAATGGTGGTTTTCTGCTTCCACATCCTGTGTTGATGGGGCATAGGGTAGCTGTTTTTGGTTTGGCTGATATCCGCCGCCACGGGATATCGGATATGGGGGATTTGCTTTGTATTTGCTCCGTTTCTTTCACACTCTATGCCATTAGGCATACGGCAGTTAGTTTGAGTCATCATAGAGGTTCATGAGATATCTAGATAGCTTTAATCTGTTGGAGGGTCCCGGAGGATCATGATAAGTCGGTCCCTCAGTTCAGAAACCCTCCGTGCCCGGCTACGCTTCCGGCCTATTGTGATTGCACTTTCACTGCTTCACCCCTCCCTGCTCCTCTTCACCGGCTCTGTCAATGCACAGACGCGGGAGCCCTTTAGAGATGAAGAATAATAATAATGTGGGGTGTGTTTCTGGCGCTCGCAAAACGCGAGGTACGGTAATGGCTAGCTGTTAACCAAGGCACAGCGCTAATTGGCTTCCACCATACACACGGTCTAATGGGGATCACGGCTACACGCCACTATCCTCCAAGTGTAAGTTTGAGGGTGAGGTTGTAAGGCCATCCCAGGCTTTTAATCTCGCTAATTAAGGTAAATCCAGACAACAAGGAGTCTTAAAGCCATAAAGCTAACACCCATTCCGCAGATATTGCACAAACTCAAAAGGCTAGCTTTACAGCCGATCCCGGTATTCATGCTCTTGAGCGCAAATCAGCTGCATGAATGATGATTTTGGAGAGCAGCCCTCAACGCACGCTTCCAGTGGTGCATAGCGAGTTTTTTTTTCTTCCAAATTTATGCAGTATCCCACTCCAACCCCTCGAGCGCGACCAAATAGCCCGTAGCGTAGCGCATATCCACATACAAGCGAGTTTGGAGGGGTTATTCCTTCCGCCCAGTCTCTTTATTCCCGCCCACCGTATGATACTTCCTTTTCTTCCCAAAGAATTCTGCCGGGTGCTCAGGTCTAGCGTTAGAATTTATATAACCTCCCCCCAAGCCAGGCAGGGGAAGATTTGCCATCTATTGGAGGTCACACAGAGAAGGCCGCAGTGGAAGTACAAAGAGATGGGACTAATCAAGAGTGAGAGAAAGAGAAAGACGGTTGTTCTTCTTGTTGTCCTACAGATACATCTCAGATTGCCGTACTTATAGCAATTTGTGACATGAATATACATCGATGTGACTTCAGTCATTTCCTAGGTCCACAAGCTCCGAGTAGCCCAACAGCCGGCCCAACATATCCGCACTACTCATCGTATTGCGGTAACATTTCCAACACCATCTCCAATCCCAACCTCGAGTGATCTCGCATGACGGGGGGGTGTTCAAACTCAAGTGGGGGAACTTTTCACCAGCGAAAGCCTATGGTGATCTCCAAGTTTCGAGCAAGGTTTGGTGACGGGGGGATTTAGCAGACATTTCTGGTGTAGGAATTATTTCCCCAAGAATGGTAGTTTTCTAAAATATTCAGTTGTTGCGCGGCACTAGAATTGCCGGGTTGGAAATGCTCATTTCCTCGTGGATTGTGGTACCGGCACTATACCATCAAATAAAGGGGAAAAACCCCCTCCTCATAATTTGAGGTCTTGAGTGGAATATCGGACCTAGCTTTCCCAGTAACTTCTGCAGGATTTTTGTCTCTGTTTTTCCCGATTGAGGGGCCTACGACCGGTTGTATCCGCCGGGCCCCTACCCCCTAACCACTAGCAGGGAGTTCTCGACGTCATGGTATGATTTTCGACTATCTCAGTCTGTAGCCTAAGCATTACACCCCGGAGAACTGTTTTCTAAGTAGAATCTGGAATACCTTTTGCAGGGCATCCGAGTGGTGTGAGATATGATCCCGAGCCGCCCTATGTTATCGTGAACTTATGGATTAGCAACTAACCTTGAAATGTTAAGGAGTGGGAAGCCAGCTGATTATACTGTATTTCTTGCATACCCAACTGGGAGGGATGGTTTAAATCCCATGAAGGGACTGAATGTGTTATCAGCAGGGCGCAGAAGAAAGAAACACCAACGCGTGGGGGTTAAGGCATGTAGAATCTTGCAAATTTAGAGAGGGGGGTGGGCACCGGGCGGGGAGCCGATGGAGAGAGGATCCCGAGGAATCACTAGTGTTCCTCAATTGCTGAGAACTTCGAAGGGGTGGCCCGAGCTCTGTTGGGCCTACATCCCCCGAGTCAGGCCAACTCGAGGGTATATAAACTTCGGCTTGGGCTTGCCAAACGATTCTACTTTACTTTTTATTTCAAATTAGGAAGGCAAAGTGAGAGGAAACAGAAGGAGGCTATGACCTTCGGGATAACCTTGTATAGGAATCCTAGATATTCAGGTAGACAGGGCGGGGAATATTTGATAACTTGAAAATTTCCCGTACCCTGAAGTGGCTTGCCCACGACTGAAGGGTTGGCTGGGCTTACGAGGGGTTGAGGATTGGGTGGGAATCAAGCTCGATTCTAAAGAGGAATTACAAATAGATGGGGGCGATCATATATTCCGTAAGCATGCAGAGCTCAATTGATTTCTGTAGGATAAGGCTAGGCGGAGAGCTAATGCGTTACTCGAGTAGAAGGGGAATTCGGAGATCTATTTTTTCTTCTTCTACATTTAATATCAGGAATATATTCTCCAATCGGATCCTCTGTACAGCACCACCTATAGCTGGTCCAAGTGAGTGGTACCAAATGGCTACCAACAAAACCGAGCTCGAGCCTTATATTAAGGGCCTGTTCGGGAGAGGGGAAAAGAGAAACCAGAGTTTGGGGGTAGAAGCCCGTGGTTTCGAACAATCTCGCAGTTTTGGAAATCTCTCTAGTGTCCAGTAGCGCATCAAGCCATTCTCATTCGGAAATTGAGAAGGCGACCCTAAAACCCTGGTTTGAAACTTCATCTCTAACTTAGAGGTAATTGTTGAGCCCAGGCCTGCGGAGGATCCATCGGTTGCACCCCGCCCTTCCCCGTTCCGCACTAGGTCTGCCAAATCTACCCGAAAGAGTAGAATTGTACCCCATGATGGCCTTTGTCACTCGGGTGTTCTGGCTTAAATTAGGGAGTTGGTGCCCGCTTGTTTGGTAAAATGTGATGGGAAAAATTGCACTCTTCTAATAATGCTTAGAATTCCAGGCGATTAGTACTGCTTAGCGTGGCCTATTAAAGAAAACTGAAATATCATTGTAAATTTACTTCCGATTACCAAGATAGGCTGGTAAGCTGGGCTGGGTGTTTGGAGCAGCAGAGAAGACTCATATGATACTAGTAAGCAGCTCTCTAACTACACAGACAAGTCTCCGCCCTGGAAATAGCAGAGTTAAGTCTCGTAGGAACACCCCAAACTGTTCTTGGACCATAACTAGCACTCCCTGTTGGCATGACTCCTTGAAATCCCCAGTGTCGGGAACCGTGGTTTCATCTTCTAATGACTGCCGAATAGGCCCTAAATCTCGAGCAGTTCGGGCCTAAGTTATTTCCTAACGAACCGAGCTATCTGGTGAGGAGCACTAGGGACCGCAGTCACCAACCCCATCCGGGGGCAGAACTCTGCCGTGAAGTGTAGGAAGTTTTGGTTGGTAACCTGTTTTGCACCAAAACCTACTATCCGCCTACATTTATAACTGCAAATGATAAGCTACGGGTACTCTTTCTACTCGTACTGTACGAGTAGTATCACAAGCCGGCGGTGAGCCACTTCCGCGAGGTTTAGCGGGTAACCTTGGCATTGCATTTGTAACCATAAATTTGCTCAAACACGCTAAGCAATCCTGCTACCGCCCAGCACCAAAGTCTAACCCTAACCCTAGCCGAGGATGTCGTTGTCCAGGCGACGACAATCTGCTTTACCCTGCGTACCAATTTACATCTTCAAAGCACACCTACCCCCTCACGCGATTGCTTGTGAATGCGACTTGGGACAGTGCACTAACCTTGAGGTGGAGGCTTACCGAATCTCGAGCCCAGAATTATGAAGGGTGATCCCCTCACACTCATCTAGACTGAACCCCCCTTAGGCCCCGCTTCACACCCCCCTCCGCCATCGCGTCCGCCGCCAACAATGCCTCCCCGGAAAATCGCCATAATCGGCTACGGATTCTCCGCTAAAATCTTCCACATACCCTTCATCCAGCAAAACTCGAATCTAATACTCTCTGGGATCATTCAGCGAAATCCGACGCCAGGGAATGACGCTGCGAAAGATCATCCAGGTGTTAAAGTCTACAGATCCACGGAGGAGTTTTACAAGAGCGATGGTGGAAGCGAGGTCATTGTTATAACTACCAGTAATGATACCCACTTCCAGTATTGTAAAGAAGCGATCGAGAGAGGGAAGGATATTATTGTTGAGAAGCCGCTTACGATCAGGAGTGGGGATGCGGAGGAGTTGGTGAACTTGGCAAAGGAGAAGGGGGTTGGGATTAGCGTTTATCAGAGTAAACCTTCTTTCCGTTCCCCATATCTCCTGAAGCTAATGGATTTCGCTGCCTAAGATAGGAGATTCGACTCCGACTTCCTCACCCTTGCCACAGTGCTTCCACGGGTTGGGGAGCTAGTTTCCCTTGAAACTCGTTACGATAGATACAAACCCGACACAGCCCCCAGCGCCTCCAAGTCTTGGAAGTCCGCACAAGCTCTCGGAAACGGCACCTTGTTCGACCTCGGCGTGCACCTCTTAGACCAAGTCGTTTACCTTTTCGGCATGCCCCAACGCCTCTTTGGCGATGTCCGTGATGAGCGTGGCTGCAGTACAAACCCATCAGCCACCTGGGGCCAGGAAGGCTTCGTCGATGATTTCTTCACTGCAACACTATTCTACACTCCTACCCCACCGCGGAAAAAGCCATTCACAGTGCGGGTAGAGGCTTCCACATTATCTTGCCAAACACCGCAATTAAGGTTTGTGCTTAGGGGCATGGACGGTAGCTGGATCAAGTATAATTTGGATACTCAGGAGGCACAGCTGAAGGCTGGGGGGATGCCAGGGACTGAAGGGTTTGGAGTTGAGGAGGCGGGGCATTTTGGGAAGCTGGAGTTGAAGGACGGGAGAGTTGAGCAGACAGTTGCTGAGGTGGGCGATTACGGGAGGTTTTACGAAAAGATTGCGGAGGGCGGTATTCCTGTTCCGGCGGAAGAGGCGGTCAGGGTCATCAGGCTAGTAGAATTGATTGGGGAGAGTAGTCGGTTGGGCAAGGTTTTGGATATCGTGGTTTAATAAATTGAATACGACGATGTGTGTCTTTAGGGGCTTGGACTCCGATTGGGGGGCGGCCTTTGCGGCCAGCTAGGCGCGATCGTGAATGCGTTTTCTCGTGGGGTGGAATAGAAAGAGGGGATGGCCCCCCACAGGATAGTGGCCCAATATCATGAACCGCCAACCCTCAAAGCGAGTCAGTTATCTTAAGCCATAATCCTTTGCTCTTCGCCTAAGTTTCGCTTTTATCTGCTGGCATTTTCCCTCTCCAACCACTGACCGGAGAGCGATATAACTTTAACAGCAAGGCGAGACAGCACAATCTCCTCAACCTCAACCCTAACCCTACTTTTTTTAACAAAATCCACCCACCCTCGCAGTCCTGAAGATTCAATGGCCAATTGGTCAGGATGCTTCCTGCTTATCGCATCTCACTCTCACCGCTTCACTGCCCTATCCTAGTTCGCTACTGGTACGAGATTCCTGTGACTTTAAGCCTCAATTCACCTGATTGGCGGGGCAAACCTTTGAATCCACTGGATCGGATAGCAACAGGGTGCAGGTACAATTCTCCACGGCACAACTGCCCCATCTGCTCGTCCACTCATGCTTTGATCTCGGAGAAGAAAAAAGGGGGGGGGTGGTGCTGGCACCCTATTCCACCCAAACAATTCGAACTTATCACACCCTGGCAGTTCCAATAACATGCTCTGGCTCTCCAGAAACAACATTCGTCGAGAATCTCGAACCACGATCCAATCGAACGGTTTCCTGCAGGGTGGATTCTCCCACATCAACGTGTCGTGTCTGCACCGTATGACATGGCAACTGCCGCGAGCTTGTCTACATAACAAGGCCGGGTCCCACGGCATTCCCCCCCCTTCGCCGCGTCACCTTGCGGAAAACGTCTGGTTGCTGCTGGCAGGTTTACTGTGACCATTTTTAACTTTTTAATCCCTTTCCCCCTGCTTCTCTCCCGTCCTCTACTTAACGAACCCGCGAAAGCTAGCGGCGGTGTGAGCTTGTGAGTAATGTTCCCTTTTCCATCGGACCGCGGTAAATGAAAACAAAATCAACTAATTGGCGACTGCAGGTATAGTACCAGTCCCATTCACGCCCTCATCTAGATCGGTATTAATGCAATCAAAGTACTGCTCCCAGAAGCATTACCCTTGGTAATCCTTCCTCCTCGTTCTACCGTTTGTTGGTTCCGCTGACTGTTTGAATAGGAGGCTGGTTTATTCTAACATGAGATAGTCACGTTATTGCCGTTATTGTGATAATTTTCCTACTCATTGCTTGCTTCATTGCGTTTGCAGCGTTTAGGATGAGAACTGTGTTGGGAATGGCATTCAGGGCGGATGATGAGAAGATCGATATGATGTCATAGATATGGCCGGGGCGGGGTTGCGGGGATCAAAGGGGAAGGTACGGCAACTCTATTCATACAACTGTTAGGGTTATAGCATTTTTGCCCTCTAACTTACTCATTGCCTAGCACTTAATCCCGCCAGTTCAGCCAGCCACCACACTGCATCCCCCCCGCAATTGGTCCTGATTTCCCTCGCTTGCCTAAACTGCTATATTAATCTCCTGTATTACTGTTGATAGCACCCCCAAACGGTTCAACTGCCGGGGGGCCGGCGGCCCAGATGAATCCGACGGAACGCCTCCGTAACCTGTGCCTAACGGCTAGCACAAATAATCGGAAACCATCCCCCGGTGTCCAGAGCGGGGGATGTGGGGGGAAGAGAAGCGGAGACAAGGGGCGAACGTAAAGCATGGAGGGTAAAATGAAAAGAACGCGGCATCCATAAAAGATCCATTTCTCGAGAGAATAACCCCCTGCAGGGCCTCACGACGCCAATTCCCCATCTATCCCAAACCATCATAGCACAAAATGAAATCCCTACTACCACCAATCCCCGCAATTGCTTTGCTCGTGACAGCTCTCTCGCTAGCAAGGAAGGGAATGGCATTTCCCCGTCCAAACCGTACTTTCCTAGAACACAATCTCGCCGGCTTAGGACCCAAAAAAGGTAGATGGTATACCGCGACAGTCAAACAGCTCCGGGAGCAACGCCCGCCTCGCAAGGGAAATCCCAACAGAGGAGAGTATCCGAGACGGAAAAAGTTGGCTCACCGCCGGAGTTCTAGAACAAGGGCTCGCAGATACTGAGTCCGGTGACACCAGAGATCTTCCCGGTGTAATTGCAGTGAGAACCGTGGAGAGATGTGGATCAACTTTTCTTTCTTCCTCCTCTTCCGCTCATGGCCCGGGATCCCAGGCTGATCTGGGTGGTGGGAAAGCGGGTTCCTGTTAGGTTTGGGCTGGTGTTTGGAAGGACTAGGTGCCGCGCTGGCGGGGCATTGGATATAAGGGTTTAGTTGTGAACACAGATTTGGGTACTTGTATAAAGGCTAGTATGGATTTAGGTGTTGTGGATATGTATTTCCGGTCATTATAATAATATTATAATATATTATCACGGATGGTAATGTGTTGCACTAGCGGCGGGGCAGAAATACAAGCGTGCGAGAAGCCAGAGAATTCATGTCCATCTTAAATTACGTTATCCTTTACCGCTTTCTGCATTCTCCTCTAGCATCGGCCAACACCAAAAGCCGCCCCACTACCCAGACAGCCCAAGAATTGCTCAAAAAAACCAGCATTCCTCCCACCTAGTCGTACCCTTCACACAAATCTCGACCGACACTCGAGTAAACCCCCGCCGGAAAGAACATCCCCACGACTAGGCTCACGCCCTTCGCGCGTGTGTAAAAAGTAGACTACTCCAATTCTGGAACCGGGATGAGTAAACCACAACACCAGACGGAAAAGCAGCTGAGACGGGGAAACAAATCAATCAAAAAAGCCACCGGTGAGTAAGAGCCGAAACTAGTCAATCCTAATCGAGCTCCAATACCAAGAGTATTTTCAGAAAGACCTCGACCACCCAGCACATCGCACCCCCCCCTTTGTGTCCTCCTCGTGCAGATTCCCCAGTAAAAGTACTCGGAAGGCGCTCACATACCAGAGCCTTCCACTCCAACATCGAGAAATCTAGATAACAGAAGAGAAAGAGCGTAGGCCGGTTACCGAGCCCTGCAGCATTCTGGAAAAGCGCTTATTGGGGACCGCACGGCGTGCCGGTATTCCTATCCGCGCCGGGTATATAGTGCATCGCCCTTCGGATGAATCGCTCCTATAGTAAGGTGCTTCCCAACCCCCCCCCCCCTCGCGAGGAACTGGTATAGCGATAACGGCAGGTGCGGGTCCGGAATATAAGGGATGAACATTTTCGACCACTCGGTCGGTATTGTAGAGTAAACCACCCCCTCCCCCAGACTGTATCCGTGAGCTTTTCTTTATTTCTAATACCGGATTTCTTGGTTAAACCCGAAATCACGTTGGGATGAAAGAGTGAAATTTGGCGAGCTTGCCAGACGGTAAATACGGTAGCTATTAGAGAGAGAGATGAGCTAACTTATCCTGAAATCAACCTTAACGCCGCTTGGTGATCATTTGTTCCTGGTAAACTTCTACGGCCCGCTCAATCCAACCGAGGCTGGAGCACAACTACCAGTACAAGCTATCCGAAGTTCTATGCAAAGCGGAGACCATGGAAATGCGCTAGCACAGGAGGTAAGTTAAGTAAGGTCAAATGGGGACAGTCACGGGTGCTATGTCGAGAGATGCTGTAAGACTGCAGGGATAATGGATAGTGGGTGATTGTTGGTGATGGTGGAAGACCACAGAAGATTTACCGGTATGCAGCTTCAAAGTACTTGAATGAGATCAAATTTTATACTCGCTTAAGCTGCTAACTTACCCGCCAGTCGCCTCTCTACTGTCGCACCTGCCACTTGCAGTACTTGATTCCTGGCGTGATTTCGGGTTAATCCAAAAGATGGGCTATCTCGCTTATCTTCCCGTCATACCGTGCCTCCTTTCCTCGGGCGGGTGGGGAAATAGTGCTATCCGAGTACCGGTACCGTAGGCAAGCACTGTACTGTACTGTTGAGTCTCGATGTCACACACTCTCTGGATTTATGATAACGCCCGACCGCCTCCTCCCACCCCCCCCCCCCTGCCGCCCGACGATCATCGCACACCCGCTTACTGTACTCGTACTTGTGGGATAACCTAGTGACAGTAATGATACCCCGCCGCCACCACTAATAAAAACCAAAACTTGATTGTTCTCTGGGAAAACTGCGGAGTATAACCCGGATTTGGAATCGCGGTTTGCGTTTTCCCATGGTGTAAACAGCGGTAAGAGCCAATTTTCCATTTTCACCTCAAGTGTAGTGTACAAGTATTACAGCATTCATAACAAATCACTCGAGAGACGGAGGGCTGGAGTATGTCTGCTAGGCCGGAATTTAGTTTGGCTCCCGCGTGGGGGTCCGGAGGTGGTGTGGGGTGTGGTGGTGCGCGACAGTGGAGCACGGGGCACTGCAGAAGGTTTCGGGATCCCCTCACTAATTAAGGGTTGCGGGGAAATAGTGCGAGTATGCTTGTCGTAATAGTTGTATTGCAGATAAGATCTGTATAGGACTTGTCCCCTTTCTGGGAGAGTCCACGTTTGATGAACTTTATGCCTTGCGAGTCGGGGAGAGTGAGGCGGGTGGGTGATAATAGCTGTATTTTGTTTTGACACGGTAGATACAAAAAAATAAGGTAGACTATGATAATAGAGCGTGTGGTATGATATCATGCCCTCGAAATACCAGGACTCCAGGGCAACGTCCCCCTCTCCCCCAAACAACCTCGGTCCTCTCGTTAAGAATTTTTTTTTACGAAAAAACCTGTGTTACGATCCTACCCGATTAGCCGTCTAGGTGCCTGAGCGTCGGCCAGGAGATTTCGGGGAGAAAATATGGGGAGGGGTTCTCTTTGAGGGAGGCGTTGTCGTTTATCACTCGGATGGGAGTATCAGAGCTTAATTTATACGACGAAGTTCTTTCCATGGAAAGTTTGGTCCATTATAGCTCAGAATGTAGTACCCCCCCCCCCCCCAACGGCGGGGAAGTTGGAGCTGTAGT